AGGAGGAGGAGGAGGAGGAGGAGGAGGAGGAGGAGGAGGAGGAGGAGATGATCCTTTTTTAACCCTCAGGATGAAAGTGACATTTCAAAAGTTAAGCTGTACATAGCAAAGATGTTTGCTCATTCTTTTATTAGCAATGTCATTCCTTGTTATTTTCAGTGTTGAGGATCCCATCTTTGCCAGTTGTGCATGATAGTTGCATGTATCTTCTTGTTTGGAATGAATGGGCTTGAGATGGCAGAGCTGGCATGACTCCAATAAAATATGACTTTTGACCAGACTGCCAGAATTGATGTAGAGAATTTCTCTTCTCGTATTTGTAAGCACATATTCAGATATAGAAATGTACAGCTCCATACTGGATATCGGTTCTTTCCCGACCTACTTTTTCAAAAATCTCTAGAATAGAATAGAATAGAATAGAATAGAATAGAATAGAATAGAATAGAATAGAATAGAATAGAATAGAATAGAATAGAATCTGAAGACAAGCTATTCCACTGGTTGATTGTTCTTACTGTCAGGGCATTTCTCCTTAGTTTCTAGGTTGCTTCTCTGCTTGGTTAGTTTCCATCCATTGCTTCTTGTCCTTCCTTCAGGTGCTTTGGAGAATAGCTTGACTCCTTCTTCTTTGTGGCAGCCCCTGATATATTGGATCTCTGCTATCGTGTCTCCCCTAGTCCTTCTTTTCATCCAACTAAACACATGCCCAATTCCATCAACCGTTATTTATATGTTTTAGCCTCCAGTCCCCTAATCATCTTTGTTGCTCTTCTCGGCACTTTTTCTAGAACCTCAACATCTTTTCTACATGGTGGCGACCAAAACTGGATGCCCAGCTCCCCCCTCCAAGCCAAATATTTTTGATATTACTCTTTCAGAGAAAATTGGGCTAGTCTTTCTTAATGAGGGGGAAACCCTGCTTTGGTTTTGTTTTAGTCAGTGTTGGGATTCAAATTTTTTTACTAATGGTTCTGTGGGCATAGCTTGGCGGGCTTGGTGTGGCTTGGTGGGCATGGCAAGGGACGGATACTGCAAAATCCCCATTCCCTCCCCACCCCACTTAACCTTCTTTCCAGCTCCGTTCTCCTGTGCAGGGCAACCAAAGAAGACCCAGCCAATCAGCTGGAACTTGGGTGGCGGAGAATGGATGGGGGCGGGGCCAGTCAGAGGTGGTATTTGCCAGTTCTCCAAACTACTCAAAATGTCCGCTACCGGTTCTCCAGAACTGGTCAGAACCTGCTGAATACTCACCTCTGGTTTTAGTATTATTAAGGCTGGCCTCTGGAGTAGATTAAGCTAAGATTGCAATCTCTTGCCAGGATGCAGCCTCCTTCGATCAGTGTGAATTGACTGAGCGGGTGGGCTAGGAGAGATTGGGTCATTGCAAATGATCTGGGTCTTGTTGGGTGAGGCGGACAATCTCGCGGCTGACCTCTTCCATTTCATTTCGATCTGGCTGGGATTTCCCACTAAGAATCTAAAGGGTGCAGGAAGAGAACCATGCCGAATACGTAGAGTCACTTCCTGCGATGGGCCGAATAGCAAGCCTTTCTCAAATCTCTGGAGTCTTGTTAGTCTTCATGCCTGAGGCAATTTTTTCCCCTCAGCTTCGGGCATTGACTTCCTGCCAAGTCATCTCCTGAGACGTGCTTGAAACTGGTGGACACTTGCGTGTCACGTGGCAGGGAAGCAAACTTGTGGTTAACGTCTCCCTCCTGGGATCGTGGAGGTCCAAAGTTGAAAATAATGTTCTTCCATAAACACAACACAGCAACTGTTGTGATTAAGAAAACATGTGTCGACTCCCAAGTGAAAGCAGATGGGCCTCAAATGGCCATGATAAATGTGATCGGTTTTGAGGCAACTCAACCAAGGGCTCGACTCAGGAGGATTTAGAGAATGCAAGAAAAAATTCTTTTTTTTATAACTGCGAATCTGCTAAGCACATAACACATGTGCGTACACACACACACACACACACAGAGTACTCTTGCTAATCTTTAGTTAACAAGGATAGGATAGAATAGAGTAAAATAGAATTCTTTATAGGCCAACTGTGATTGGACACACAAGGAATTTGTCTTGGTGCAAATGTTCTCAGTATACATAAAAGAAAAGATACAATCATCAAGAATCACAAGATACAACACTTAATAATAGTCATAGGTACAATAAGCAGTCGAATCGTACCAGGAAAAAGTCAATAAATAGAATAGAATAGAACAGAACAGAACAGAACAGAATAGAATTCTTTATTGGCCAAGTGTGATTGGACACATAAGGAATTTGTCTTGGTGCCTATACTCTCAGTATACATAAAAGAAAAGATACATTCATCAAGAGTCAAGAATTATAAAGTACATCAATAATAGTCATAGGGTATAATAAGCAATCAAATCATACTAGGAAACAGTCAATATAAATTGTAAGTATACAAGCGACAAAGTTACAGTCATACAGTCACAAGTAAGGGGATGGGTGATAAGGACTGATGAGAAGATTAATAGTAATAGTGCAGGCTTTGTAAATATTTGGATAGTGTTGAGGGAATTATTTGTTTAGCAGAGTGATGGCGTTCAGGAAAAACCTGTCCTTGTGTCTAGTTGTTCTGATGTGCAGTGCTCTATAGCGTCATTTTGAGGGAAGGAATGGAAACAGTTTATGTCCAGGATGTGAGGAGTCTGTAGACATTTTCACAGCCCTCTTTTTGACTCGTGCAGTATACAGGTCCTTCATGGAAGGCAGGTTGTAGCCATTGTTTTTTCTGAAGTCCTAATTACTCTCTGAAATCTGTGTCTGTCTTGTTGGGTTGCAGAGCCAAACCAGCTGGGAAGGAGGGCAACCGTTGTAGGAAGAATAGCCAACTAAGTCATAGAAGCAAACCAGGTGTGGAAACCTCTTGTAATAATACCCCCCACCCCACCCCAAAAAAGGAAATTGCCACAGCCACCAAATCCTGATGAGCGGCTCCTGGGCTGATGGTATTAACCACTGTTGTAGGCCACTCAGAGTCTGATATTGAGATTGGCAGCCCTATAAATTGAGACAAACAACAATACAAACCAGATTTGCTTCTTGCCATGACCGTGAGGCCTTTATATTCAAAGTGGGCTTAGCGCAGGCTCTGTATTTTCTTTCCAAGGCTTGGAAATTTGGGAGGAGGCGGGGGAGTAATTCAATATTTCCATACATGGTGTGTTGTGAGTTAATTTTGTGTGTTTGCTTGCAAGGAAATTTCAAATTATAAAAAATTCAATATGTACATAAATATTTATAATATTTACATACAAGCCATGCCCAGCCAGTCACATGACCACCAAGCCATGCCCAGCCAGTCACATGACCACCAAGCCACATCCACAAATTAGGCTACGCCCACAGAACCGGTTATTAAGAAATTTGAATCCCACCCCTGCCAATTACCCCTTCACTGGTTATCTATCATACAGTGACAGATTTGTCATGATATCTGTTCACAGTTACATTGCAAATGCCTGTGACTAACATAAAGACAGCCAGTCCAGTGTATGGTAGTGCTAAGGCATCAGATTAGAAGCTAGGAGACTGTGAGTTCTAGTCATATCTTGGGCACCAAGCCAGCTGGATGACAAGTCAGTCACTTTATAGAATTATAGCACACATATAGGAGGCAATGGGAAACTACTTCTAAAACAACACCCTGCCCAGAAAACTGTACAAACTTGTCCAATCTCCAACAATCTGATGCATTTGAATGGAAAAAAATAAAGGATTACCATTAATAATATGCATTCCCTAACGGTCAATCCATTTTAGTTTAATAGCAACTTCATTATAGAGCCACGATGAATAATGCAAAATGCAGCATTGTTGATAGCAAACTCGATTCTGTTTGGTTTGACCCTCTGCCAATTGCTCAGCTGCAAAATTATAGTACCGTCCATCTTCATAAAGGATTCCATTTTAAAATATTATTAAACACCAGGGAAGGAATGCAGCACAAGTTTATTAGGAGGCAAAACTGACCAATTTCCTCTGTTGGAATTCCTCACACACTTCCAAACATCTTGTATTGCTTGGTTCAATAAACAACACAAGCCTTTGGATATGATTTTATCCTAATCCAGCATGGACTTCATGTTCTCCATTAAATCCTTTTTTTTTAAAAAAAAAAACCCTGCTTAATCTCCAAACCTGGATTTTAGAAACAGTGAGAAACTGTGTACATTCCATATGTAGGAGTGGTTATAAATCAAACAGCCTTCGTCTCCATTTTGCCATCAACCTATGCTTGGGAAAAAACCAGCCCACTATCAGTTCAACAAGGCAGATACTTAAAGGAGCAATAGTATGGAGTAATAGAAGAATGGAGAAATTATGGAGAATAGAATTAAGATGAAGAAGCTCAAACGCATTGGTAGCCTCACACTGCAATAAGCAAGGACATACGAAATTCAAACAAGGACATGCATTCAATTTTGCAGCTACTAAGATTGTTGGATGAGCAGGCACAAAAACAGCCAGGGAAATGATTGGAGCCTGGGAAACAGGGCCCTCATCAGTCAACAGGAGTGTTGATTTACTCCCAGCTTACTTAAGAGAGGAACCCAAGGAAGCAATAGCCAAATAGTCAACTCAACAGCCCAATCTACATCTAAAAAGCTATACACAACAAGCCCCGTATAAATACCTCACGCAGAACAGCCCAAACCACGCAGAGAAGTTCCCTGAGGATTGGCTCCAGCACAAGTCCAAAAGCTCAGAAAAAAAAAAAAACTTTGGCCCTGGTGATTGACCCAGATTGGATCCTGTAGTATAAGTATTATATGTCACTAGCTCGATACTTGTGCTTCGCTACAAAACTATGCGGTCCGGCTTAGCTTTGGGGGAGGAAAACAAGGGGGGAAAATTCTGCTTCTGCCTACCAGCATCCATCGGCATTCATCTGGCTAGTCCTGTCAGTGTGTGAGAGAGTGGAAGGCTGTTTGGAAACTGAAACAGTATTTGCTGTGAGCAAGAAGGAGAGCAAAGAGCCTGGGCATGGCTCAGCTCAACTGTTCTGTACTAAAGCTGCTTGGTGCTGTGAAACTAAAACTGAAACTGTTTTGCATTTGGAAGAGATTTCTTTTCAGGTGGGGAGGGGGAGTAGAACTCCTTAGCATCAGAGCGTGTTAATAATAATAATATAGGAAATATTAATGCTCTGATGGTCATTTCAAAAAAATCCTTTCTTAGCAAGCACCTAAAAGCCAAGGGGAACATATGAGCCAAATTTCAAGTTTGTAGGCTTTATGGTTCTGGAGATTTTGTGATGATGCGTGAGTGGTATTTCACTTTTATATATGTAGATACACAATCTGTTCTACTATTGTGAAATATGGTCAGATTAATCCGGCAGTCTAATATCTGTATATACAGAATGAAGGTTGGGGTCTGTTTTGAAAGGATGGTCACACCAAATATTGATTTGATTTAGATTTCTCTCCTCTTCATTTACTCTCCATTTTGTTACCTGGTAAAAATAAACTATTAACACTCCGGTTTCCGAAAGCGTTCTTAATTCGCAGCATGTTCGCATAACTGCCGAATACTTTTGCACAGTATTATACACCAACAGCATCTCACAGGAATACACCGAGCAAGAACACTCACAAGATTAGAGATGCCTGTTCACAAACTTTTTCTCCAGTGTGATATTTGCATTCGTCAGCCAGCAAGTTCCCTCTGGATTCTACGTAGTAGAAACAGGAAACTCCTTGCACAAAAGAATTGATGGACACCAGTTTCCCATTAAGACTCAAAGCAAGGGCGGAGAAATAAAACATTGGAGAAATCTCTCAGGACACCCCACATTAAACCTCAAAAGTGCCTGGTTTAGAAAAGTTTATTGCTGTAACAATTCCAGAAATTGTTGACATCAAACATTTCGAGCAACCTTCGAAGATCTCAACAGAGACATTGGGCTGCTGACACATCACAACTGTTCATTGCTAAGGTGCTTGTCATCAGAATTACACACACTGTGCAACTGGGTAGCCAACCAGTCTCCTTTCCTCTTCTCTTCCCTTCCCAAATTCTCTTTCCAATTGATATTCTACACCATTCTGCATTTGATGAAGTGAGTTGCAGCTCATGAACTCTTACGCCTTTTAATCAGATTTGTTAGCCAGAAAAGATGCGGCTAGGAGATGTTTGCCATCGTAAGACTGACAACAGCTCCCTCACAATTAATCACGGCCTAAATACTTCTAGGATTCATATTGAAAGAGGCAGGCCCCTGTGCATAGGATCAGGTAACATGAAGAAAACTAAAAGTGCTGTCAGTATCTATAAATTTAGAGCCAAGTAGAGCAGCCACTCCTGAGCTGGCACTCCAATGTATTTCAATCCACAGGCAGTAGCTGTTTAAACAGCTCCCTCTAGCCATAGGAGCCGCTCCCTGGAGCAGAGAAAAATCGAAATCATATGGCTGACATTTGTGTGAGAGTTCAGACTAAAGCATATCACTAACGTGGACTGTCTTTTTTTTTCTATAAAGTAGCTGCTTCTTTAAAAATTTTAAAAGTAGGTAGGTAGGTAGGTAGGCAGGGGTAGGATGCTACTGGTTTGGCCCCGGCTCTATAGAACCGGTAGCTCTGAAGAGCAGCAGACACCAAAACGGTTCGTTGCAACAACCTTTTGTTCATCTGTTTGGCCCAGCTGCCCACCTGGGCTCTTACCTGTCCTTTATTTCCTGCTTTTTCAACCTCAGCTGCTTTGCACGGCACAGCTGAGGTTGAAAAAGCAGGAAAGAAGAGGATTTTCAAATGCTGCGCACCTGCGCGCTGTGCTTGTCAGCTGTCCGTGTGGCACAGCTGAGGTTTTTTTGCAAATGCTGTGCATGTGCACGCAAAATGCACTCTCACCGAACCAGTAGTAACACCGGTTGAATCCCATTCCTGTAGGTAGGTAGGTAGGTGGGTAGGTAGGTAGGGAGGGAGGGAGGGAGGGAGGGAGGGAAAGAGAGAGAGAGAGAGAGAGAGAAACACTTTTATCCTGTTCTAGCATTTTGCCTGTGTCAGCTGTTTTCTGTTGCCTTGGTATATGGTAGCAAATGCCACTTAATTGCCCGTTTTTTTTAACATAAAGGGGGCAGACAGTCCATGCCTCCCATAAAGCAGGGATAGACAACTATGGCCCCTTTATGACCTATGGACTTCAACTCCCAGAATCCTGAGCCAGCATTATTAGCTCAGGAATTCTGGGAGTTGAAGTCCACCGGGTTGTAAAGTCCACAGCACTATTGGCTCAGGAATTTTTGGGAGTTGAAGTCCACAGGTTGTCAAGTCCACAATGTCAGGATTCCAGCAGTTACCCCCATTTAAATCATGAGTCTCGAGCCAAACTTCCAAAACTTCAAAATGATTTATTGGGAATTAAACTGTCTGGCACTGCCTGGGTGTAGCCGACTCTGAGGCACATAATTCGTTGTCATCCTTGACCCTGGTTTTCCTCCACCTCCTGGGTATACCATAATTCCTATTTGCCAATGGGACACATCCATAGCCAAGAGTCATCAACCATACTCTCCAGTTAGAATTTTGCGAGGCAGAAACTTCGGTCACCTAGTTACTATCTTTGAAACATTTATGGAATGCACCTTCCATTTTGCGAGCTGCTGCACTTCTCCCCCCTCCCTTTCTGTTGGCAACTCTAAAAAGACCAGAGAAATATTTTATGAGTTGACATACAGCACGATTGGCTCAGGAATCCCAGGAGTTGAAGTCCACAGATCGTAAAGTCCACAGCACGATTGGCTCAGGAATTCTGGGAGTTGAAGTCCACAGATTGTTAAGTCCACAGCACTATTGGCTCAGGAATTCTGGGACTGGAAGTCCACAGGTTATAAAGTCCACAGCACGATTGGCTCAGGAATTCTGGGAGTTGAAGTCCACAGATTGTTAAGTCCACAGCACTATTGGCTCGGGAATTTTGGGAGTTGAAGTCCACAGGTCGTAAATGCACCATAAGCCCACACCTGCCCTAAAGAATGTTGTTCCTAAAAGTAACATGCCAGAATCACATCTGCTTTTCTCATCAATATCATGTTTTCCCCTCTGGATGTGCTCCAGTTTGCTTTTCAGAGGAGAGACATCCATCAGTGAGAGCTGATGCTTCAGATCCCAGCAAATAATTTTGAGGCACAAGAAGACGTAAGAGGAGATTTGTTGAATTAGACCAGATCCAACTTCCTGTTTCTCCCCATGGCTAACCTAACACCAAGGGAAAACTTGCCAGTCAGACGAACATACAAAGTACCAAATTAAACATCAGCTAAGTTAGAAACATAATTTCAAAAGTGCATTTTATATGAAGAATGCTAAATATTAAAAATTACCTATATTTTCACACCCCATTATTTCAGAAAAAGAGACATTATTATTTCAAAACGTCAAGAAATCATAAATCTTTAGCTTTTGAAAAGTCTTGTTGGCCACACATATACTGGACTATGTTTTGTAAACTATGCATGTATCTCAGGGGTGGTAACTATGACCCTTTATGACCTGTGGACTTCAAGCCCTAGAATTCCTGAGCGAGCATGGTAGTCCTTCACTTACAACAGTTCACTCGGTAACTATTCAAAGTTACAACGCCACTGAAAAATGTAACTTATGACCAGTGGGGTGGCATTCTACCAGTTTGGACTGGTTTGGGCAAACCGGAGGTTAAATTTGCATCTGGTTTGCTGAACTGGTATTTGAACCAACCAGCTGGCCCTGCCCAACCTGCCTCTCCTTCCCCTGAGTCTCCACACGGCCCATTTTTGATGCAGGTCCGCGCAGGGTCCATGTGGAGGCTCTGGGGAGGGGGGAACAGGCCTTCCGGAAGTCTGGAAATGGGCCTGTTTCTGGCTTCCAGAAGGCCTCAAGAGTCTGGGGGAATCTGTTATCACCCTCCCAGAGGCCCGAGGGAAGCCTCTGGACCGTTGGGAAGGCAAAAAGTGGCCCTACTGAATATAAGGAAGTTGCAAAATGGACCTGTTTCGAGCTTCCGGAGGGCCTCCAAAGCCCAGGGGAGGACATTTTCACCCTTCCAGAGGCCCGAGAGACGCCTCCGGACCCTTGGGAAGGCAAAAAACAGCCCTCCCGGAAGTTATGGTAGGCCATACCCACCATGGCCACGCCCACCCAGCAACTGGGCAGCGAACCAGGGCAAAGTCTGGCTGGACAGAGCAGGAAAGAGGTGGAACAAGGGAGAGGGAATTCAGAGGAAGACCCAGGGTCCACCCCCACTTCATCGTAGGGCATGCAGGGAGGAACGGAGAAGGGAGCAACATGGGTTGTGTGGCTTACGGCGGAGGAAAGGGCCCTGATTCCCTTCATTAGCTGCAGCTTGGAGCACAGTGTATAAAAAAGGCAAGTTGCTTGCAGCAAGCTGTTGGGAGCAAATGTGACTTTATCTTGTATCATCATGGCTTATCTGTGTTCCTGGCATCTTCCCAACTGTGTGAGTTTTGCCGTGCTTTCAAGTCTGAAATTCCTTCTCCTTCTCCTGCCCTGTCAAACTAATTACTTCAGTTTGGTTTGTTTGGATTTTAAGTTACAGTTTGTGTGTACCTTGTTTTGGACTGAATTTTCTGCAGTTAAAGGCTATTCCTGGGAGAGTTTTTCTCCAGCCAGAAGGTAACCTGGACATTGAGGGCAAAGTTGGAGATAATAAAGGAACTCTTATTGCTTATTTGATTCTGTTACCTTTGTGCCACGACCCTGGTCATCACAGTCTCTTTGTATATCTGTTGTACTTGTTGTTAGTTGCAAAGTCATGTCTGACCCATCACGACTCCATGGACAAAGTTCCTCCAGGCCTTCCTGTCCTCTACCATCTTCTGGAGTCCATTTAAGCTCATGCCAACTCCATCCGGCCACTTCATTCTCTGCCGTCCCCTTCTTCTTCATTTGCCCTCAATCGTTCCCAGCATTAAGCTCTTCTCCAGGGAGTCCTTCCTTCTCATGAGGTTCCTTCTCATTGAGTTTCATCTTTAGGATCTGGCCTTCTAAGAAGCAGTCAGGGTTGATCTCCTCTCAGACCGACCAGTTTGATCACCTTGCAGTCCAAGGGACTCGCAGGACCAGCACCCCCAGTACCAGAGTTCAAAGGCCTCCATTCTTTGGCGCTCAGCCTTTCTTAGGATCCAACTTTCATAGCCATACTTTGCAACTGGGACTATTGCAACAATATCCCCAGTTACAGATATTGCAACTGGGAGCATTGCAACTGGGAGCATTGCAACTGTATATCCATAGCCCTTTTCAATTTCATTTTGCGTAATTGGTGATGAGTGGGGTGACTATAACTTTTTTTTTGTTTCCTTTTTCCTGTTCTGGTGAAGTGCCCAGGTGAAAGTGGAGATAGCCAAAAGATCTACGATACCTGGCCTTATCTGCTGTGCCGTTCCCATTGCCTGGCCAGGCCTTGGAGGAAATGAATGACTTCACAGTGTTGGGGCAGCCAATTACAATGGGTGTTGCCTCTTGTCTTTCCAAATTTCCTATCTCCCTAGCTCCGAAGTTATTGCAAAATGAAACCATGTGTCTTTCATTAAGAGAATGCTGCCAAATGCTTAGAAAGAAAAAAAAAATATATCTCAATTTATGTTCAACACTGACTTCACTGTGCAAACCAGCATAATCGAATGAAAAATATACATGCATTGATATGAAGAAATTCCCTTCTTCTCTTTAAATCAAAAATCAGAACTTTGGTCTTGATAGGTGTAACATACTCTAGATCAAGAACAGGGAGGAATGTTGGATATTTTACCTTCTTGTTCAAAGACTGACTGAGGCTGCAAAAATATGATCGGGGGATGATATGTCTCTAGTAGATGTGTCTCATAAGCCACCATCTGATAGAACTATAAGGTTTGCTATGAGTCATCGATCTGCCTGAAGGTGGTAGAAGAGCATTGAAGGGCAATGAAATGGCTCTGCCTGAAGGAGGTAGATCTTTGTTATGTAGAATAGACTGGCCAGGCCTTAATGGCCCATTAACAAAAGTGTTGGGTGGGTGAGGGGCTGAGTTTCTGCCTCTCTTGAGTTTCTACTCCTCTTTTAAGGGAAATATTCTGCCTTTTTAATATATCTTAAAATATTTCATTTTTCTAGGAGAGGGGTGGGTTTTATTTTCCAACAATACTATCCACTCTCTAGTATAGGGGAATATGCATACAGTGGGGAAAACAGGCTCACACTGTTTGGCTGTTCTCTGGGGCCAAAGTTGTGTATACAGAATAACATCACTTGCAAACAATTCCTAAATCTCCCTCTCTCTGTGTTTATAAGTAGCACAATCCCCAGTTGCCAATTTCCATGTAACTTGACTCTCTTTATCCATGAATCAAACATATAATTCTGGATGTGTTTTTTTCTCTCTCTCTCTCTTTCTCATTGACCTGCACAGCAATTTCTCCAGCGCACGATCATAAAATAAAACCCCCACTGGAGTCAAATCACCTATCGGGTGCAAAACTGTAACTGAAACCAGAATTCCTTGTTTTGTCTAGAAATGGGTTGTAGGATAAGCAATGGGATTTTTGACTCACGTTTTGGTGAACATAGCACTAAATATCTAATCACAAACCCACTTCCTGCTTTATGAAAAGCTGGAAGCTGCAGAGCTTGTAATTTGCTTTTTTTCCCCCCCTTCTTCATTATTTACAGCTTGCTTGCTTGAAGCCAGCTTCCCTCTCCAAGAAGCCAAAGAGCGCCCTCTTTTGTCCACACAATTTCTTTGGAGTCCTCTGCAAAATAAATAACTAAAAGCTGGATGTCACAGATATTTAACAGAACTACTTCGGGATTACTTCAGAATGAGAAATGGGAATGGATGCTTGTTCTGTTTTGTGTCAATTTCGTGCTGCTTCTTCAAATGTTGCCATGCTAATGATATATTTTAAACTATTTTTTTAATCAGAACTGTTCTGAGATGTTAATGGGGTTAGTTGGTAGTTGTATAGATGTTCAAATCAATAACTTATCTGTTAGTCAGACAATAAAATTCATCATAGAAACATGGTTGTTGCAATGAGCTAGTCTTAAACAGACTTGTTTGAATCAGTACAACACACACAGCATTTCTTTTGCCCTTTTTGGTACAATCCAGCTAGCTAAAGAAACCCCTCAAACTATGGCTTCCTTCAATTAAACTATGGTTTCTTATGAGCAGACAGAGAAATAGTTCCTAAATCTGAAACAAACAAATTCTTTTGGAACAACAAAAAGTTTTAAAAATTGCCTTGATGTTAATTTGATAACTTGAAAGTTCAAACCTTTTTAACCCTTGTTTTCTGCTTCACCTATAATTATAAATTATGGTTTACTGAAGTGCTTTGGAAAGGGGGGGGGGGTAGTGTGAGATGGGATATGTTGGCAAAATGTGTGTATTGTATTTTATGAACTAAGTTTTAGCATTACATATAATGTACTATTGTAAGGTTCTGGCTTGAACAAGCTATCTTTACAAGAAACTGTGGTCTGAAGAATTTGTGAATGCATTCTACGTAGCAAATAGCACTTGATATATATATTTAGTCACTGTATTGGTTTTAAAACTTTATTCTCTTTAAATACTAAACTGACTTGTATTGGTTTGAGTCTACCTTATGGGACAATAAGGGCTTGTTTCGGAACCTTGTATAAATTCACAGCCTTGAAGGCTTAACTGTAAAATGTGTATTTTAAACTCAGTTTAATTTTATGTGGTTCCCATATGAGGCAGTTTGGAGCAAAAGTGTGAGCTTTGTTAAAAATTATCCAATTCGTGTAATTGGATTAGTTCCATTGTTGGCTACTCATCTTTTACAACAAGACAGATAACAAATAATGGCAGTACAATGGCTGAATTTAAGATTTAAGTTGTAGTAAACAAACATTGGGTAGTAATGTTGACTGGAAACAGATTGCTTGGCATTTGTTCAAACAAAGAATAGGGATTGAAGTCTTGCAGGTCAGCTAAGCTATCACCTCTGCTCAAACAGATGCTGTCATTCAAGGAGTAGCTTAGAATCTTCTCTTCAACTCAGAGAAGGCAGGGACAAGCTAATTATATACCCTACAAGAAAACCAATACACGCTACTATATAACTAATATAGTAGTTTATATTAGGCTGCCCTTATTTGAGCTGCAAAAATCATTAGCTAATTGCTCCCACTTAGTTGCATATTTTTGCAGCCAGATGTGGAAGTCACAGTTCACCCATTAAGTCACAATAGAGTTTGCTTTGTTTTAGTTGGCATGATGTGAGAACACTGATCACTGCAATATATAAGTGATCGCTGGCAGCTTGCAAGTTGAGTGAAACCAAGGAATATATGGGCAGAGCGGCTAAAGTTACGCTCGATTTTCTCCAGTCTGGAGTCCTTGAAATGATGTAGAGGCCTAACAGCCAAAAGTTTCAACCAAAAATTTGGGAGCTGTACCCATATTATCTGGAGAGTACCAGATAGGGGATGTCTGTCATAACTCCTATATGTTTAATTTACTGATACGTAATCTGCTTCTTAAAGATTAATAGTCTGATCTGCAACTTTGATCTTGCAACTTTGATCTTGCAACTTCGGTTGAATTTTGGTTTGACCACTTTTCCTTTCTTGGATGAAGAAGAGAAAAACAATATTTATATACTAGTGCAAATGTGAAGCTGGCAAGACTTAGCTTTGAAATGTTCTGGTGTTTCATTCCAGATGTAAAACAGCAATAAGGAATGACTCTGTATACACGAACCATTTATTTTGTTCCTACTAACCTTATAAATGATCTCTTCTTGTCCAGAGAGATTAGGCTAAAGGAAATGCTTCTAATTCTAAACTGATAAACTAGCTAATCCAGAAGCCTCTCTTTTAAGCAGGGGGACTGCTAATGGTGAACAATGTTAGTTGGTTAGTTCACTTAGCACTGCACTCTTCACCCTGGCTTAAATACCTCAAGAGAATCAGACAGTTTCTTCCTGCATAATTTTAAAAAAAGAACAAAAAGGGGTCAAGAAACAACTTGTAATTAACCCACAGCCCTGTAAACTGCAGAGATTGTGCCACTCAAATTCAGCAAAAGCCACCGAATTGTAGAGGTTCAACTTTCTACAGATTTTTTTGGGATAGGTGTGATAGAAATGTGTAAGCTTTCAGATGAATGAGAGACATCAACATAAGTAACTTTCACAAACACCCAAAAGTCTGCCAGGAAATCGATCCCAGATGACTGGCAGAGATGCTCAACTGATGGAATTAAGTCAGGCATTCGGGGAAACTCATCCAACAAGATCAGTTGTAAGACAGACCACAAAAAACACAATAGAACACCATCAGTTGTCACTTACACTCCCAGGTTTTCTTTCTTTCTTTCTTTCTTTCTTTCTTTCTTTCTTTCTTTCTTTCTTTCTTTCTTTCTTTCTTTCTTTCCTTTCTCTCTCTCTCTCCCATCCTTTCATCTTCCTCTTCCTTTTTGTTTCCTTTTTATCCTTCTCATTTTCTTCCTTTCTTTCCCTCCCTCCCTTCCTCTTTCTTTCTTTCTTTCTTTCTTTCTTTCTCTTTCTCTCTCTCCCCCCACCCCCATACCTGATTCTGGGCAGCTAACAGTTTAAAAACATAATAAAAATTACAGTAAAAACAAGTTTAAAATGAACAAAAATAAAGTAGCCAGGAAACCGAACTGGACCAAGACCAAGAAACAGGATCACCCTTACTATCACAGGGCCACGGGTTTGATGACAAAGCCAAGATTTCAATGTCTTGCAAAAGGCCAGCAAGGTTGGGGTAATTATTTTTGGGGTTGTGGGCGTGTCGGGGGGGAAATGAGGTTTCAGAAGATAGCCACCATAGCAGAAAAGGTTTTCTTCCTGGTGCCCACCAGATGGCGCTCTTGTGGTTGGGGACCCAGACCCTGCCTCTTTTGGATATTACAGGATGGGTGGCCAGAATAGAATAGAATAGAATAGAATAGAATAGAATAGAATAGAATAGAATAGGAATAGAATAGAATGGAATGGAATAGAACAGGAAATAGAATAGAATAGAGAACAGGACAGGAATAGGAATAGAATAGAGAATAGAATAAAATAGAATAGAATAGAGAATAGAACGGGAATAGAATAGAATAGAATGGAATGGAGTGGAATGGAATAGAATGAATAGAATAGAAAAGAATAGAACAGGAAATAGAATAGAATAGAATAGAATAGAATAGAATAGAATAGAATAGAATAGAATAGAATAGAATAGAATAGAATTCTTTATTGGCCAAGTGTGATTGGACACACAAGGAATTGGTCTTGGTGCAAATGCTCTCAGTGTACATAAAAGAAAAGATACATCCGTCAGGAGTCAAGAATCATCAGCTACAGCACTTAATGATGATCATAGGGGACAATAAGCAATCAAATCATACTAGGAAACAGTCAATAAAAATAGTTAGGATACAAGCGACAAAGTTACAGCCACACAGTCACAAGTGGGAGGGGGTGGGTGATAAGGCGTGAGGAGAAGATTAATAGTAATAGTAGTGCAGATTGTTCCTTGTGAAATGCCCATTGTCCTAAAACTATTTGACATATTTATTTGGCAGTGATATTTTTGAATCACACAACCAAATAGTAGAGTCTTAGTGGGCAATCACTTAAACAACAGCCAGCAATGTTACAGCAGTGGCCAGAAAATAAAATAAAAATCTAATGCAATCCTTGGTTGTATAAACAGAGGCATAGAATCAAAATCACCTGAAGTATTAGTATCATTTTATAAAACCTTAGTAAGACCACACCTGGAACGCTGCATCCAGTTTTGTCCCTCCCACAATTATAACAAAAGATGTTGAGACTTTGGAAAAAGTGCAGAGAAGAGCAACTAAGACGATTAAAGGCCTGGAGACTAAAACCTAGGAAGAACAGTTACAGGATTTGGGTATGGCTAGTCTATAGAAAAAGACGAGAGGGAACCTGAGAGCAGCCTTCTAATATTTGCCACAAAGAAGAAGGGGTCAACTTATTTTCCAAAGCACCAGAAGGCAGGACAAGAAACAATGAATGGAAATAGGTCAACGAGAGAAGCAACCTGGGATTAAGGAGATACCTCTTAAGAGTGAGGACAATTAAACCAGTGGAACAGCTGGCCTTTATAAGTTGTGGGTGCTTCAAGACTGGAGGTTTTTAAGAAGAGGCTGGACAGCTATTTATCTGAAATGGTTGTAGGGTCTTCTGCTTGAAAAGGGGCTGGACTAGAAGACCTCCAAGGTCCCTTCCAGTCTATTCCGATTGATGGATAACTATTTTCTTTATGGTTTCGTAATCATAGGAGCAGTGGAGCCCAAATAAGAACAGCAATTTGGGTTCAATAAATACACATTTCCCCGAGCAACCTTGTCCCAGAGTCTGTACTGGCGTTTAACTTTCAATCCCCTCTTGCCAAAACATTTGCTAAGTCTTTGTCTTTCGGTCTATGCTTTGCTGCCGTAATGATAGGTGTATAAGGTAGCATCTGTGAGAGAGGAAAATGCTAAATTTGGCCAAGCATGATGATGAGTCATTGGATACTGAAATCCCTGTGAAGCTTTTAACAGCAAGCGGTCCCATCTGACTAAACAGATTTTGTACCCTGACTGTGAACTTAATGGCCAAGGGCAGATGGGAGTGTGGGAATATGGGCTCTGAAGGTGAGGCCCTTCCTTGCCACTCAGAGGTTTGATGGGCAGTTTTTGGTTCTGCACTTCTTCAGCGGTCATTTACCGTTTACTTATTGATGTGTTCGAGCTGCTTGCTCCCAAAGAGTCTGGGTGGGCAGCTTTAGCAACAGGGAACCTTCCAGATTGCCTGAACACTCTTCAGAACTTTGTAGGGCTCAGATTTATAGTTTATCTGGTGTGTAGTTGCCTTTCCTCTGCTCAAAACCCCCTCATCTGCAAACACACAGGCAGACCGACAGACAGACAGACACATACACACAGCCCCTGCCCCCACCCAAAATTCCTAAATATATTGCAGGGACTCACTTCATCTGCAAACACGCAGACAGACACACAGATACACAGCCCCTGCAGACCCTCACGCCCCCCAAAAGCTAAATAGAATAGAATAGAATTCTTTATTGGCCAAGTGTGATTGGACACACAAGAAATTTGTCTTGGTGTAAATACTCTCAGTGTACATAAAAGAAAAGAGTCATTCGTCAAGAATCACAAGGTACAACACTTAATAATAGTCATAGGGTACAATAAGCAATCAAATCATACTAGGAAACAGTCAATATAAATCGTAAGGATACAAGCGACAAAGTTACAGCTATACAGTCACAAATGGGAGGGTATGGGTGATAAGGAGTGATGGGAAGATTAATAGTAATGCTAGTGCAGACTTTTTAAATAGTTGGATCGTGTTGAGGGAATTATTTGTTTCGTAGAGTGATGGCATTCGGGAGAAAACTGTCCTTGTGTCTAGTTGTTCTGATGTGCAGTGCTCTATAGTGTCGTTTTGAGGGAAAAAGTTGAAACAGTTTATGTACAGGATGTGAGGGGTCTGTAGATATTTGCACAGCCCTCTTTTTGACTCTTGCAGTATACAGGTCCTCGATAGAAGTCAGGTTGGTAGTAATTGTTTTTTCTGCAGTCCTAATTACTCTCTGGAGTCTGTGTCTGTCCTGTTGGATTGTAGAACCAAACCAGACAGTTATAGAGGTGCAGATGACAGACTCAATAATTCCTCTGTAGAACTCGATCAGCAGCTCCTTGGGCAGTTTGAGCTTTCTGAGTTGGCGCAGAAAGAACATTCTTTGATGTGCTTTTTTGATGACGTTTTTGATGTTAGGTGTCCATTTTAGGTCTGGTGATATAATAGAACCTAGAAACTTGAAGATCTCTACTGTTGATGATGTGTTGTCTCATGAAGTGAGTTCCTGAAATATATTTCAAGAACTCACTTCATCTGCAAACACACAGACAGACAGACACACACACACACACACGCAGCCCCTCCCTCCCAAAAAAATACTCTTAAATATATTGCAGGGACTGTGGTTGATGTTGTC